CATTTGGAAAGTATTCAGACCTCTTTACTTTTTACACTTTGTTATGTTACAGCCTTATTCTAAAATTGATTAAATTATTGTTTTCCCTAATCAATCTACACAATACCCCATAATGACAAAGCAAAAACAGGTTTGTTGAAGTTTGAGAATTTATATAAAATAAAAAAAACGGAAATTCCTTATTTACATAAGTATTCAGACCCTTTGCTATGAGACTCGAATTGAGCTCAGGTGCATCCTGTTTCCATTGATCATCCTTGAGATGTTTCTACAACTTGATTGGAGTCCACCTGTGTTACATTCAATTGATTGGACATGATTTGGAAAGGCCACACACCTGTCTATTTAAGGTCCCACAGTTGACAGTGCATGTCAGAGCATTTCTGCAGCGGTCCCCAAAAACACTCCATCATTCTTAAATGGAAGAAGTTTGGAACCACCAAGACTCTTCCTAGAGCTGACCGCCCGGCCAAACTGAGCAATCGGGGGAGAAGGGCCTTTGTCAGAGAAGTGACCAAGAACCCGATGGTCACTCTGACAGACCTCCAGAGTTCCTCTGTGGAGATGGGAGAACCTCCCAGAAGGACAACCATCTCTGCAGCACTCCACCAATCAGGCCTTTATGGTAGAGTGGCCAGACGGAAGCCACTCCTCAGTAAAAGGCACATGACAGCCCGCTTGGAGTTTGCCAAAAGGCACCTAAAGGACTCTGACCATGAGAAACCAAGATTCTCTGGTCTGATGAAACCAAGATTGAACTCTTTGGCCTGAATGCCGAGCGTCACCTCTGGAGGACATTATTTATTAAATGTTTATTTGAAGCCTATAAATGTAAATGGACAATTTGGGTACAATCAATTAGCTGAATTTCTAATTATGTTTAAGCAAAATAATGTTGCAGGAATGCTTATCTTATCTGTTTCTAACTACAGAAACGGCTTGCTGAAATGACATTGAATGACCCTGGGGACATCTTTGTTTGTACAGTAATTATTTGTCATGCATTCCTTAAAGCTTTGGGTGTTGTCTGTAGCACTGTGGCTTCAGAGAGAGGGAGTGTTGGGATATGGAGGACTAGTGGGTTTTGGCTATTTTTGTGATTGGTGGCCGAGGATGGGGAAGGAGGTATTGGCATTCCTCTTCTACAGGTTCAGTCCTTCAGTCCACTCCAGACTATTGAACATAATCATTAACATTTTATTCATGATTTAGCATGGGAGGCTCCGCTGATAACAAACTGATCACCTGTGCAGACAGTCTCTCTTCAGTCTCAGTGTAGTGATAATAACTGTAAGGCTATATATCTCACTAGTCTTATGATGGCATACTTTGTTTTCATAGTAAACACATCTATGCTGCTGTCAAACATCACAAGTAAATGGCAAGTGGCAGACAACAATACTCTGACTGTACCTGTCTTTAGTCTTCTTCAGTCCCTGTAAAAAGGAAACGCCCTAAATGGACAGCATATTGTTCCTATATTTGCAGACATTTTCTGTGTCATTGGGCCTGTTATCAGTGAGTGTGATAGTGCCTTTTGTGAGAGCTCAGCTAATGATTCCACCCCGATCATAAACAGTGAGGCCTGGCTTCCTACAGGATACGGTCTCAAAGGTTAAAAGCCTTTATTGGGGTCGCCCCACTTTGGGAGGCAGATGGTGGGTTGGGCGATGCCGCAGGGAGATGGGGGCGTGATCAATCAGGCCTTTGGTTTATTAGTCATAGGCATCAAAGGAAGCAGTGCCTTTTTAATGAAGAATCTGAGAAAAATTTGACGGTGAGGCAAAGGGATGAATAAAGCCCAGTAAGGAACATAATATTTGGAGATGAGAAACAAGGATAGTGTTGTGCAGACAGACAATGGACTTAACACTCAAACTCCTAATAAACTCTTGAACAGTTATCTACCAGATTGGAAGTCATCCATCAACACTAGGTGTTCATCCGTCATAGAGATGGGATGTTAAACCGAATATTATCGACACTGACCATACCGATCACTTATTGCAGGCATTCTGCTGATATAGTTCATTACGATAAGTAGCCTATACTAGAGAAATGTGAAGTTTGAAATGAAAGAAGTTTGCTAATATGGGGGATTTTTAATGGGACCAATTGATGGCTACAACCATCAAACTAGTAGTAGTTTAAAGGATAATAAATAAATAAAAGTGGTGCACATTGAAGTTATAAACTTAGTTATAATTATTTTGCCCATATTGTCCATACATAATTAAATCAAATTGTATTTGTCACATTACATTTACATTTACATTTGAGTCATTTAGCAGACGCTCTTATCCAGAGCGACTTACAGTTAGTGAATACAATTTTTTAATTTTTTTATACTGGCCCCCCCTGGGAATCAAACCCACAACCCTGGCGTTGCAAACGCCATTCTCTATCAACTGAGCTACATCCCTGCCGGCCATTCCCTCCCCTACCCTGGACGACGCTGGGCCAATTGTGCGCCGCCCATGAGTCTCCCGGTCACATGCACCGAATACAACACGTGTAGACCTTACAGTGAAATGCTTACTTACAAGCCCTTAACCAACAATGCAGCTTTAAGAAAAATAAGTGTTAAGTAAAAAATAGATAAAGAAATGACAAATAATTAAAGAGCAGCAGTAAAATAACAGCAGCGAGGCAATATACAGGGGGTCAATGTGCGGGGGCACAGGTTAGTCAAGGTAATTGAGGTAATATTTACATGTGGGTAGAGTTAAAGTGACTGCGTAGATAATAAACAGAGTAGCAGCAGCGTAAAAGAGGGGGTGGGTGGGAGGGGACAATGCAAATAGTCCGGGTAGCCATTTGATTAGCTGTTCAGGAGACTTATGGCTTAGGGGTAGAAGCTGTTAAGAAGCCTTTTGGACCTAGTCTTGGCGCTCCGGTACCGCTTGCCGTGCGGTAGCAGCGAGAACAGTCTATGACTAGGTGGGTTACCTTAGTGTTCTTGGGCACAGGGACTATGGTGGCCTGCTTGAAACATGTTGGTATTACAGACTCAGTCAGGGACAGGTTGAAAATGTCAGTGAAGACACTTGCCAGTTGGTCAGCGCATGCTCGGAGTACACGTCCTGGTAATCCGTCTGGCCCTGCGGCCTTGTGAATGTTGACCTGTTTAAAGGTCTTACTCACATCGGCTACGGAGAGCGTGATCACACAGTCGTCCGGGTTAGAGTCCCACTCCTTGAAAGCGGCAGCTCTACCCTTTAGCGCAGTGCGGATGTTGCCTGGAATCCATTGCTTCTGGTTGGGGTATGTACCTACGGTCACTGTGGGGACGACGTCATCGATGCACTTATTGATGAAGCCAGTGACTGATGTGGTGTACTCCTCAATGCCATCTGTAGAATCCCGGAACATATTCCTGTCTGTGCTAGCAAAACAGTCCTGTAGCTTAGCATCTGCGTCATCTGACCACTTCTTTATTGACCGAGTCACTGGTGCTTCCTGCTTTAGTTTTTGCTTGTAAGCAGGAATCAGGAGGATAAAATGAGGGTCAGATTTGCCAAATGGAGGGCGAGGGAGTGTCTTTACACTGTTGTTGTAGCCATGTATTTGAGTTTGTTTATTTCCCGGGAGTGTTTCCTTAACCTCCCGTGGCCAAGATGGGCTTCCACATAGTTTAGTGCGGCCTGTCAACGCCTTCGAGGAGAGAGTGGTGTATGTTTGTGTAGCTTTACTAGGAAGCCTCTGCACCCAATATGTTCTCTACCCGCCACCCCCTCTTATGCCTCTTCCCCTTTCAACCCCCTGAAAAAAGGGCAGGCTATTCTGGGGACCAGGGTTACCCATGTTCACACGTTATGTGTGACAAAGTTGATATATGTGAGGACAGGAGCTGTCCTATCGGTCTTGGGCTTGTGGAGGAAGTGCCATATGAGCCTCTTGGCAGCTTCTGTGATATGATCTGGGCTAGGCTATCTGTTTCTGGAGCGTTTGCCTGGAAGTCAGCTGTTTGTTTGGTGGGTGGGGTGGGCAGGGAAGGGCATTGCTAAAAGAAACAGGAACCAGTTCTGGCATGCTACTGACTGAGGAAAAGTCCTCCTCTTGGTTATGTTTTAATTTAATTTACAAGTCCACTGTTGTTTTTTAAACCCTGGTATTTACAAGATACAAGCTAAAATGTTTATTGATTACCTGATTTGTATTTTTTGGTAAGTTGAAATGGGACTGTAAAATTGTAATCGTTGAATTCTGTCATTGGAGGAAATATTGCTGACAAAAGATGCAGGTGACCTTGAGCCTCTTCAAGGGAGTCTGCAAAAACACTACAGTGAATACTATGGTATTTCTTAAACATTTGAGTCAAATTGTAATTCCATTACCATGGAATTGCCCAAACACGTTGAGTCTAGAGCGATGAGGCAGCATTATTAGACAGCCTGCTGACTTTCTCACAGGCATTGAGCCAAGTCTCTACAGGATTGATCTTTTACATGTTCTGTACCATAGTAGTGCCATTATCTGGTTCTCAGTCTTTCTTTCTGTGTTGTCCTATGTAGGCGGGGAGACTGTGGAGGAACCTTTTGTGAAACGCTCTTGTCATCCTCCTCAGGCCAGAGCGATGCCACTTTGCAGAATGACACCAGTCCTGACACAGGGAGGGTACTCCTTCCCCAACCCGGACTCAATCCTCTGCCTACCTCACCCCTGATGACTTACCTCACTCCAAGTCAACACCCTAGAGCTTGCTTCCGATCCCTAACCCCTAACCCCTTCCCTCTCATTACTACTTCAGCGTTCTTCTCTATGTAAACCTGGTGCTCTCAAACCACTTTGTCCCTCACCCTACTCCAATTAAATTCAATACACCTTTCTCAACCCCTGTCGGGGCAATTAAAAAGGCATTGCCAGTGCCTACTCCCAGTCGTCAGTAGGGTGATCGAAGCCTTTCCTCGTATTGCCTCACACCCCCTACTGTGTACTGGAACGCAAAGATGCGCCAGAACTTTGAGTGGCAGATTTTTGAGTGACGTCCCCACTCTGTGATGTCAGAGACTGGAGGAGAGGGGTGGGGCCAGAGTGGGAATCCCACGTTTGTGTTTGGCTATGAAGATCGTCAAGGCCCAGAGGAAGGCGGCATGAAGAATGAGGGAGAGATGCGAAAAGGAGAGGAGGAAGGGCAGGAAAAAGAGGAGGACAATGAGGATTATGACTCGGTAAGGGGGTACATGGAGACTGAGAGAAAGAGGCCCTTTCCCAATTTGTCTTGACTTGATACCTCGCTTCCTCTTTCCTCTCCTCCTTCTCAAACTGCATTGGAGGGAAAGATCCAAGGTCCCTTCCTTCAGACCTTCTCCTTCAATACATTTTTGAGAAGGAGGTGAGGAGAGATGACAGGACAGAGGAAAGGTGGGAGATTGGCTTAGGCTTCACCTCGCACAAGTAATCACATCACACATCAAATACAGTACATTACAAACAGTACGATACGAGTGACTTCTTTCCCTTCCTCTGTGTTCACCCAGCCTCCAGAGAGGCAGATTGTGGTGGGCGTCTGCTCCATGATGAAGAAGTCAAAGTCCAAGCCAATGACCCAGATCATGGAAAGGCTGTGTAAGTTTGAGTACATCACTGTGGTCATCTTCCCCGAGGAGGTCATCCTCAACGAGCCAGTGGACAAATGGCCCCTGTGCGACTGCCTCATCTCCTTCCACTCCAAAGGTACAAACGAACGTACGTATGTGCACCCACCGCATACGATTACGTGCATCAGGTACTGGCGTGAGCATGCACATTGCACAGATACACATGTATAATGTATATGCATGCCAAAATACAGTAGGTATACATGAATACAATCTGTACATACTAAACACACTGTCATTCCCGTCTTGCTCATGTTTAGTCATAGTTTACGTCTGACTTGTCATGGTTTAAATTGGGTATATCTTAGGACAGAGATCAGAATAGGGAAATAAAAATGGGGAAATGGAAATATGTTTAGAACACCAGTATACAGACCAATGGAACAATAATGTAATGGATGAGGCATTTTCTTCCATTTCCTGGATTATTTACATGCTTGTGTTTGTGTATATGAATGCATGTATGTGGGTCGTTGTGTAGGTTTCCCATTGGACAAAGCGGTAGAGTACGCCAACCTCAGAAACCCACTTCTCATCAATGACCTGAACATGCAGTACTACATACAAGACAGGTATAATGGTGAACACACGCACTCATTTCCTGCTCATACTTTGTCAGTCTATTGACTTGTTCCATCATAGACATTTTGTCTAATGTCCCTTCAGGAGGGAGGTGTATCGTATCTTGCAGGAGGAGGGCATTGACCTTCCTCGTTACGCTGTGTTAACCCGAGACCCAGACAGACCTGAAGGTAAGTGTTACAACACAACTAGTCTCTTGTGACAGACTGTTACTATTCAATCAAATAGCTGGCTAGCATGGACACAAGTTTTGCTTCCGGGTGCCAAGATTACAATAAAACAAAACTTAAACCCTATCTCTGTAAACGTAGTTGTAACTGATCCCAACACTCACTAAAGCATACTTATCAGAAATCCACTGCAGAGTATAATAAGAAATTGATGTGCAGTGCTAGCAAATATGGCTCTGGATAGTTAGCTCACAGTGGTAAGACGCTGAGTTCCTGACATCTATTGCCACTTGCAGTGTATGTCTGAATCCCCCATGGTGCGCAAAGACGATCTTTGAAATGTGGATTCACATTTATTGCGGTATTGTGTTGGGAAGAAGTGCAATCATCACCTTGAAAATGAAGATTAGGGGCTCAATTCAATCCAACCCGCATTGCAGTATTTACGCAGTAGCTCTTTTTCCAATGGTCAAATTAACACAGATTGTTCTTGGGTACTGTATAAAAACCTACAACTACTACCAGGACTACCTTTCTCACAGGTATGCTTTAACTTTTCAGAAGTAGAAGTGTGTGGGCGCGGGATGAATATTGTAAATAAAGGATTTGGAGAAAATAAATGATATCTGCCCCATGTGGGATTAGAACTCACAACCATTGAACTATGAGCCAACTTTTTTATCGGACTGCCACCAATTGGTCAGTGGTTAAGGAAAAATACTTGTTGACATGACCACGATTGTCACCTATTTCTTGTTACGATGGATGTAGCTAAGAGTATAAATGTATAATCCTCATAGCCTACATGGTTTTTTTTTTCTTCGTAAAAGCACAGATGTGTATGAAACGGTAAGCAAAAACGTTGAATTTGGTCATATGAGGAAATGTGCTTTACTGCCTTTTTGAATTTTGTGTAACGTCAGTAGTCTAGTCAAGAACGCATCATGCAAAATGTATTGGCGTACTCTACTTACCAAGACCATTGCCAAAGGCGTGCTGTCACCTGCTTTCATAGTAAGCCTTGAGGTGGCATGACCTAGCACACCTAGAAGGGAGTGTATTTCATACCGAACCCATCCCTTGAGATGACGTAGAGGCACTTTCTCAAGGTTCCTCTACATCACGATTTCAATGGAGGTGATCTGCTAGAGGCAAAAAGAGCTAGATATACTACTACAATACCAAAATATATCACTTTTGCAACGAACTGTCAAAATGAAGACCAGAATTGACGTGTTCCACTATAACTAAGCCTAAAACAACTTTTTTTTAATGGGGGAAAAAAAAACGTTTTCGTGAAAGTTACTCTTTAAAGCGGAGGTCACCAACCAGGCGATCGACTGGTCGATCTCCATGGCATTCCTTGTCGATCGCCAAACATTTCAGTAAAAAACCCAAGGATAAAGCCTTGCGTCCCAATTTGTTGTCATTTGCTTCGCTGTTGGCAGTAGGTGCACCCGATTCAGCTGACCTGCGCGCTGAGTAGGCTAAGTGTTCCCATTTTGAACCATTTCATGTATCTGAAGGTACAAACTCTGCCTTCCTGGCGGGCCCGTAGAGCAAATCAAGTGCACTGTAGGCCTACCGCTGGCCAAACAGATGGCTCAGATTACAGTGTCTGCAATAATGTAGCAGGTGTAAAAGAACGCTAAAGCGAAGTTGATACTGTGAGATTTTAAAACCATGACCAGAGAGACTGTTAACAAATACAGTAAAGATTTGCTGTTTTTATGAGTGAGTTCATGTTTAAGTTCTTATTCAACACTTTTATAAGCCATAAAATTCACGGTTTTTCTACTTCCACACAAGCAGAACTGCATCTGCAATGAATGAGTAGGTAAGTGTATCGATAGGCTTGCTTTATTATTATTATTATCAGCAGCTTGGGTCTTTTTTAATATTGAGGAATATTTCCCTTTCTGTGTTCATAGGAGTAACAACATGAATTTGTGCATGAGGCAGAAATAAAGGTGCAACTCAAGATTCGCGATCAGCTGGAAGACGGTGTTCCTTTTTGGTCAGTGTCAGCAGAGGACAGGGAGAGCAGAGGGACGTTGAGGCGGACCCTCGGTCTGCTGCTCTCTCCCTCCGCTGAGACTGACTATCAGATGCAGGCTCGATCAGCCCAGTAAAATAGAAAGTAATACAACAACTGATCTATTACCGGTGTGATCATATAGCCTACCTAAAATGTTGGAATATAATTTTTAAAATGGTCCGAACAACAATGCATTGGCAGGGCAATTCAAGCAAAGCCAATATGCGGTGATAATGTATTGGGACTATAGCCCACTGCACAAACCTCATTGCTACAGTACTGTTTTTAATAGGTGAATGTTGCATAGGTTTACGGTTTTGAAGTCATGTAAAAAAAAAAAAATATGAGCGGTAGATCTCGGCTTGCATTTTGACTCAAAGTGATCGTGGCTCAGAAAAGGTTGGTGCCCACCAGTAGTAAAGCAATGTCCCCCTAGCCTATCGAAGATGAAGGCTATTACCAGATCATTAACACCTGGCCAATCCTTTCACATCTAAAAAGTGCCTATGAATAGGGTTTATAGTCCAATTTGGAATGGGGCATTAATTCAAGTGTGTTTGAGGCCCTGATTGAACTCTCTCTAAATGGCTGTGTGGTGTGTCTGCCTCCCAGAATGTAACCTTGTGGAGGGGGAGGATCATGTGGAGGTGAACGGGGAGGTGTTCCCTAAGCCCTTTGTGGAGAAGCCTGTGTGTGCAGAGGACCACAATGTCTACATCTACTACCCCACCTCAGCTGGAGGGGGTAGCCAGAGACTCTTCCGAAAGGTACCGAGGGACTAGGGAGGTACAGTTGGCTTCAAATGGGTCAGATGCTGTATTGTATAGGAACTGCTGTTGGAATTATAGTGTAGCGGTGGAAGCTTTAGGAGCCATGCCGTACAGGAAGGTCAAACTCAATTATACACATTCGGTACTCAAACTTTTAGCCCTCATTGAAATATTTTAGCTGCCCTTCATTGATCTTGCATGACAGAATGAAACCAATGAAATAGTCCCAAAAGTGCAAAACCGCTCATCTGTCAGGCTCAATCAAGCGCTCTTATAAGTATATGAAATATTTCAAATACTATTTGAACCCTGACCTGGTTGCCCCCCCCCCTCCCTCTCTTGTTCATGATCCCCTCTCTCCTATAGATAGGGAGCCGCAGCAGTGTGTACTCCCCAGAGAGCTGTGTGAGGAAGACTGGCTCCTATATATACGAGGAGTTCATGCCAACGGACGGCACTGATGTCAAGGTATCATCTTAAGTGTGTGTTGGTGTGTGAGCCTGGTTGCAGTCAGTATTTGTGTTTGGCTGAGTCTTCTTTGTTGTTGATGTTTAAGTTAATCGGTTGATGGACTTTATACACTGCCATGTCAGTTTCTTTAGGATGAGGGTGTGTGCAAGTGTGTACAAAGTGCACAGATGATTACTTGGTGGATGAAACATTTCTATCTCACTCTATGAAAGCGAATTAAGAGATATACTAATTGTGGTGTGGTTCACCAAATGAGGCTTGGTCATAGCTAAATACATACTTGAATCCGTAGATTGTTTTCAAAACACGTTTTAAGAACACCTTGTCAAAATACAAACGACATGTGACTGTATACTAGCATGGTCATGTTTTTAACTCGCTGTCATGCTCTGAGCATGCATACTAGTAGACAGTGAATGAACCCATTCAAAGATTAGGTCGAATATACTGTATATTAACCAAATGTATCCAAAACAGATTTTAGTAACCACATTGGCCTGTTAGAACAGGTAAATAATGAGACGTTTGACAAATATGCACTTTGTTTGCATCAGCCTTTTTGAATGGGCGCAAATGGCAGTGTCCAGGCATGGCCGTCGGCGTTCCATTTGGTAATTGTGGTCAAAACTGTTCGCTGCTCTGGCACCCCAATGGTGGAACAAGCTCCCTCACGACGCCATGACAGTGGAGTCACTCACCACCTTCCGGAGACATTTGAAACCCCACCTCTTTAAGAAATACCTGGGATAGGATCAAGTAATCCTTCTACCCCCCCCCCAAAAACAAAAACCCATTGTAAAGTGGTTATCCCACTGGCTATAAGGTGAATGCACCAATTTGTAAGTAGCTCTGGATAAGAGCGTCTGCTAAATGACGTAAATGTAAAAATGTAAATGTAATTTGGTTTTGTGTTTGGAATGGCACTGTTACAACGGGAGTTGATGCAGTCATAAATCATTTGATGTAAGTGTTTTTAGGCCAATTTTGAATCTGTAGAATGACTATTACCCATAATGCTCATTGACTGGACTGTCCAAATTACCATGGCAACTATGCATCACAATCGTAATATACATTTTGCAACATGCAGCAATCCACGGTACAGTATCAACTACGCTGCTGCGCTTATAGACGACGGCGGGCCCGTGCGTAACATTTTCAACAGCATCTCATGATGACCCCCTGCCCTGTTTCCCCCAACTTTTAAACTAACCCTCAAGTCCTTTCAAATAATGCTGTCAAATAAAGCAAGGTATATAATGAGTCAAATAAGCACTAGGCCTAAAACATAGGCAACAAACGTGAGGTAGAAATTACACTTCCACGCTTGGATGTGGTCGCATCCGTGCGAGCTACAGTGGGGAAAAAATGTATTTAGTCAGCCACCAATTGTGCAAGTTCTCCCACTTAAAAAGATGAGAGGCCTGTAATTTTCATCATAGTTACACGTCAACTATGACAGACAAAATGAGATTTTTTTTCTCCAGAAAATCTCATTGTAGGATTTTTTATGAATTTATTAGCAAATTATGGTGGAAAATAAGTATTTGGTCAATAACAAAAGTTTCTCAATACTTTGTTATATACCCTTTTGTTGGCAATGACACAGGTCAAACATTTTCTGTAAGTCTTCACAAGGGTTTCACACACTGTTGCTGGTATTTTGGCCCATTCCTCCATGCAGATCTCCTCTAGAGCGTTGATGTTTTGGGGCTGTCTCTGGGCAACAATGACTTTCAACTCCCTCCAAAGATTTTCTATGGGGTTGAGATCTGGAGACTGGCTAGGCCACTCCAGGACCTTGAAATGCTTCTTACGAAGCCACTCCTTCATTGCCCGGGCGGTGTGTTTGGGATCATTGTCATGCTGAAAGACCCAGCCACGTTTCATCTTCAATGCCCTTGCTGATGGAAGGAGGTTTTCACTCAAAATCTCACGATACATGGCCCCATTCATTCTTTCCTTTACACGGATCAGTCGTCCTGGTCCCTTTGCAGAAAAACAGCCCCAAAGCATGATGTTTCCACCCCCATGCTTCACAGTAGGTATGGTGTTCTTTGGATGCAACTCAGCATTCTTTGTCCTCCAAACACGACGAGTTTAGTTTTTACCCAAAAGTTATATTTTGGTTTCATCTGACCATATGACATTCTCCCAATCCTCTTCTGGATCATCCAAATGCACTCTAGCAAACTTCAGATGGGCCTGGACATGTACTGGCTTAAGCAGGGGGACACGTCTGGCAGTGCAGGATTTGAGTCCCTGGCGGCGTAGTGTGTTACTGATGGTAGGCTTTGTTACTTTGGTCCCAGCTCTCTGCAGGTCATTCACTAGGTCCCCCCGTGTGGTTCAGGGATTTTTGCTCACCGTTCTTGTGATCATTTTGACCCCACGGGGTGAGATCTTGCGTGGAGCCCCAGATAGAGGGAGATTATCAGTGGTCTTGTATGTCTTCCATTTCCTAATAATTGCTCCCACAGTTGATTTCTTCAAACCAAGCTGCTTACCTATTGCAGATTCAGTCTTCCCAGCCTGGTGCAGGTCTACAATTTTGTTTCTGTTATCCTTTGACAGCTCTTTGGTCTTGGCCATAGTGGAGTTTGGAGTGTGACTGTTTGAGGTTGTGGACAGGTGTATTTTATACTGATAACAAGTTCAAACAGGTGCCATTAATACAGGTAACGAGTGGAGGACAGAGGAGCCTCTTAAAGAAGAAGTTACAGGTCTGTGAGACCCAGAAATCTTGCTTGTTTGTAGGTGACCAAATACTTATTTTCCACCATAATTTGCAAATAAATTCATAAAAAATCCTACAATGTGATTTTCTGGATTTTTTTCTCTCAATTTGTCTGTCATAGTTGACGTGTACCTATGGTGAAAATTACAGGCCTCTCATCTTTTTAAGTGGGAGAACTTGCACAATTGGTGGCTGACTAAATACTTTTTTTCCCCACTGTACAAATTCTAGCTGGTCACTTCACTCAAAACGTTCTATTTTTGGGGAAGCTAAAATCATGATTTGGTCAAACAGTAGCATCCTGATTCCTGCATGAAAGAGTTTGCCCTGCCCCAGTTTCTCCTTGTGTACTCTAGCCTAGTTAGAGAGAAGAGGAGGAAGAGAGAAATGCAGTCTCACTGCGCAACATTTCAAAATGTAATCATGTGAAAATACAGTAGGCTACTGTTATGATTTTGGTTTCGAGTTTCCCCTTCCTCAGTGATTAGCCCCAAGTGAATTAGCCTATGTGATATTAATTACATTAATATCTATTTAATTAAATTAATCTGCAATTCTAGAGCCCTATTTGGGCAGTAAAATTATAGCAACAATAGCCTAATTGTCAACCCAAAATTCATGCCAATCACTGGTTTAGGTATTGCACATCAACATATATTTGTAATGCATCCTGCTTGGACATGTTATATTAAACAAATTATTTATTGAATCATACCATCGCAATAGCAGTGTGTATGACTATAACATTATTCATGTTTTGTTCTATTGCGTGACCGTGATCATAGGCTGGTGCCACCATCTGAAAATGTTGGTGGCACCAGGGGAAAAAGTTAGTCCGGAGCCCTACTGTATAGGGATGACATGGTTCATGGTAGGCAAACATAATTAGAAAGGGAAAGCAAGTGCCATGATCTCAGGGGAAATAGGCCTATGGGAGTCTTAAAATGCTTGGGAGTTTAGAATACTGCTATAGCCTATCCAGAGACCAAAAAGCTGAAAAGAGAAACAGATTTTTGATTTGCATTAAATCAAATTATTAATATCCAGTGATTTATTGCCCGTAAGGGCGGAGTACCGCTAGTATGTGTATGATACGATATCAGGTGAACACTGTGGGACCTGACTATGTGTGTATAATATGATGTCATGTCAGGTGTACACAGTGGGACCTGACTATGCTCATGCTGAGGCAAGGAAGTCCCCAGCCCTGGACGGTAAGGTGGAGAGGGACAGCGAGGGGAAGGAGATCCGCTACCCTGTCATGCTCACCGCCATGGAGAAACTGGTGGCCCGCAAGGTCTGCCTGGCCTTCAAGGTGAGGCTTTTCAACCAATCAGACCACTCTGTCTCTCTTCTCTCCAAATCAACCTGAAGCCTTCTTAAACTATCCCAATAGTCTGAAGAGGCTTCCTCTGCTCGACCTAGTCTTATTTCCTTCAATGATGTGCAGGAGCTGGATAGGTGAAAGCAACTATGATGTATTTTCAGATCAGTGCAGATGAATGCAGGAATCCTCTTTTTAGAGGTGCAATGTGTACATTTTTGGGCGATCTGACCAAATTCACATAGAAATGTGAGTTATAGATCCGTCATTCTCATTGAAAGCAAGTCTAAGAAGCGGTAGATCTGTTCTATGTGCGCTATTGCTATGCTTCCCATGCTTTTGAGTCTTTTACTTTTGATTTTGTACACCAGCTTTAAACAGCTGAAAATACAATATTTGTGGTTGTTGAAAAGATATTTCACAGCGGTTCAGATGGTACAATGATTCTCTACACTATACATTGCTTGTTTTGTCACATAAACAGAAATTAGGCGAACTATTCAAATTTTAGCAACCAGGAAATGGCGGAGCGATTTCTGCATATTGCACTTTTAAGATGCACTTGACCTTGATTGGCTACATTCAGTTTGAATGGCTGACTGACACACACTTTCACTCCCAGCAAACGGTGTGTGGCTTCGACCTCTTGAGAGCGAATGGCCACTCCTTCGTCTGTGACGTCAATGGCTTCAGCTTTGTGAAGAACTCCATGAAGTACTATGACGACTGTGCCAAGGTCTTGGGGTAGGTGCAGCTAGCTGTCATCCTTACATCTTAACCCCTGATTTAGACTTTGACACTCAAGGATCTTCTTGGTAACTAAAGCCATACGTCGACAGAGTCTTTAGCCACAAGTCGTTCCTTGAACTGGCCAGGATCCAAACTCACACTCTCTATTTGTTTTCAAAACCCAAACACTGCTCTAGCTCACCCCATTGGTTGTCAGAACTCAAAACACTGCTCTAGCTCACTCCATTGGTTGTCAGAACTCAAAACACTGCTCTAACTCACTCCATTGGTTGTCAGAACTCAAAACACTGCTCTAACTCACTCCATTGGTTGTCAGAACTCAAAACACTGCTCTAGCTCACTCCATTGGTTGCGCTCCCCACAGGAACATGGTGATGCGAGAGCTGGCCCCTCAGTTCCACATCCCCTGGTCCATCCCCATGGAGGCTGAGGACATACCTATAGTCCCCACCACCTCAGGAACCATGTGAGTCCTCTCCTCATTATCTTCCTTTTTTCTTCCTCCTTTCCTTCTGCTTCTTTCTACCTCTTATTCCCCCTCCTCCCTCTCTTCTTATTCCCCCTCCTCTTATTCCCCCTCCTCTTATTCCCTCTCCTCTTATTCCCCCCTCCTCTTATTCCCTCCCCCTCCTCCCCCTCCTCTAATTCCCTCTCCTCTTATTCCCCCTCCTCCCCCTCCTCTTATTCCCTCTCCTCTTATTCCCCCTCCTCTTATTCCCCCTCCTCCCCCTCCTCTTATTCCCCCTCCTCCCCCTCCTCTTATTCCCCCTCCTCCCCCTCCTCTTATTCCCTCTCCTCTTATTCCCTCTCCTCTTATTCCCCCTCCTCTTATTCCCCCTCCTCCCCTCCTCTTAGTTCCCCCCTCCTCCCCCCTCCTCTTATTCCCTCTCCTCTTATTCCCTCTCCTCTTATTCCCCCTCCTCCCCCTCCTCTTATTCCCTCTCCTCTTATTCCCCCCTCCTCCCCCTCCTCTTATTCCCCCCTCCCCCCTCCTCTTATTCCCCCTCCTCTTATTCCCCCTCCTCCCCCTCCTCTTATTCCCTCTCCTCTATTCCCCCTCCTCCCCCTCCTCTTATTCCCCCCCTCCTCTTATTCCCCCTCCTCTTATTCCCCCTCCTCTTATTCCCCCTCCTCTTATTCCTCTTATTCCCCCTCCTCCCCCTCCTCTTTTTCCCTCTCCTCTTATTCCCCTCCTCTTATTTTTTTCCCCCTCCTCTTATTCCCCCTCCCCCTTTCCCCTCCTCCCCCTCCTCTTTTCCCCCCCTCCTCCCTCTCCTCTTTTCCCCTCCTCTTATTCCCCCCCCTCCCCCTCTTCTCTATTCCCTCTCCTTTATTCCCCCTCCTCCCTCCTTTTTCCCCTCCCTTATTCCCCTTCCCCCCTCCTCCCCTCCCTTATTCCCTCTCCTCTTATTCCCCCCTCCTCTTATTCCCCCTCCTCCCCCTCCTCTTATTCCCTCTCCTTATTCCCCCTCCTCCCCCCTCCTCTTTTTCCCCCTCCCCCCCTCCTCTTATTCCCCTCCTCTCCTTCCTCTTATTCCTCTCTCCCTCTCCTCCTTATCCTGCTCATCTCTATTCCCCCTCTTCCCCATCCCTTATTCCCTCTCCTCTTAATTCCCCTACCCCCCCTCCTCTTATTCCCCCTCCTCTTATTCCCCCTCCCCCCCCTCCTCTTATCCCTCCTCTATCCCCCTGCTCCCTCTCCTCTTATTCCCCCTCCTCCCTCTCCTCTTCCTGCTCATCTCTACTAGAGGTGGTCTAACAGAGGTGGTTTAGTGAATTATACTCACGTGATGGCTAACCTCTCTTGAGACTTGGAGACATGGGTTAGCTCCCACAGCTAACTCCTAGGCTTTAGCTCATTGGGCTAACACAGTCTTGAGTCACAAAGTACTAGAGGACCCTTGTTGATACCGGTTATAACGCTGTTTTCCATATCCATTCGCGTATGTTTTTTTAAACCCTCATCAGGATTTCTCCTGACTAAATAAAGGATTAATACAATAAACAAATCAATAATGTCACCTGGAGTTGCAAAGGGAGGGTACATTACTGGAAACCTTCTAAGTTTACCGGTAAACTACCAGCATGTTGATAACTTTCAAGGTTTTGGGGGAATTTTATAACATGACTTCTAGTGGCCTTTTTGGGTACTTCAGATTATCACAAGGTGTCTGTAAATATCTCTGGCCCTCTGTGTGGCCTTATCGCATGTTATATATAAACAAATCAAATAAGATAATTAAAACAATAAAAATAGAATGACAAAGCTGTAAAACATTATCCTAAATATAAACCACCAACAGTGAAAACTATTGGTGTTTAATGTGAGGGTTTCAGCATGAAATGTCCTGAAATTGTTTTACATGCTTTCATTTATTTTACTATGTCAAAATGTCTTTGTTGTAAATGTTTTGCAGACAAACTGGTGGCAGTTGTGAAAAAAGTCAATAGTTGGAAGAGTTGCAGAATTAATTGAAAATAATGCCGTTGTTGAGACACTGTAAAAAAATTAATTAGGCTATTTTCTCTTGAACCATATGGTCTATCCACTACAGACTCATGGTCAGTATTGACACAGATATAAAAAATTAATACTATGTATAAATATATATATATTTAAAGTTATTCAAGTATAAATTACCGGTAACTTATCCGTAGCTTTGTAACCCTGTCACCTGTCCCGCAGGATGGAGCTGCGCTGTGTAATCGCCATCATCCGCCACGGAGACCGCACCCCCAAACAGAAGATGAAGATGGAAGTCAGACACCCTCTGTGAGTCTATATATCTCTTCATGCTCCCCATTCCCAGTGGGCAGAATTTGACACCACGTCTTAATGACTTAATTTTCTGATCAACGTCATATAACAAATACAACTTGTAATTCACCTTCCCCAGTCCTGTTGCGTTTCAATGATGTATCGGTTGTGTCTTTAGATTCTTTGAGCTGTTTGAGAAGTACGGAGGCTACAAGTCAGGGAAACTGAAGTTGAAGAAGCCCAAACAGCTACAGGTCAGTCCAAGTATCTATTTGCCTGTAACACAGAAACGTGCAGTGTGTTCCTCTGTTGAGGGGAACTCTATTTATGACTATGGTAGTGCTATATATGGCCTCTACTTCTAATCGACTTATTTTCAAGGTTTCTTCCTGGCAACTGTTGCCTTTGCTTGCTCTTTGTAGGGGTTAAAGCTTTGGTTGTTGTTAAGCACTTTGTGACAAATGAGTTTGATTGACTGATGTCAGTCGTGTGTGTGTGTGTGTGTGTGTAGGAGGTGCTGGACATTGCCCGGCTCCTACTGGCTGAGTTGGGCCAGCACACGGACTGTGAGATCGAGGAGAAGAAGGGTAAACTGGAGCAGCTCAAGACTGTCCTGGAGATGTGAGTGAGACGCTTATGGGTGGATTACGGACACACACACACCATGTCCTGATCTGTCCATCATTTGATCGACTATGCATAAGGTAGTGATCTGCTCTGCTGTGTCTATGATGCTTGGTGTAGAAACCTCCTGTGTCATTGCTGTGTCTGTCTGTAGCCCAATACACAGATTGAATTAGCCTTCTGTTCACTAAGCACACTCTAGCCTAGTAGCTTTCACATTTACTTTGTGAACACCCCCCTCCTCCCTGTGTCTAACTCTTTTTCTCCCTATCTCTTTTCCTCCCTCCTTTCTCTCTCTCCTCCTCTCTCTCCAAAGGGAATCCAGCTTGAATGACACTCAGTACGCACCTTTCCCCCCTGTCCCTTTTAAAGGATGAGGTTCACTCCTCCTTGTTCTTAGCACTCACTGTAACCACCACTACCATTAACCCCTATTCATAATGATGAGGGATGTTATACTGAACTTAGAATCAGGGAACACTAGCCACAACCACAACCGTGTGTCCGCGTGCGTTTGAGAGAGTGCTTTGTTGTCTGCAATGCATGTCGTTCTGAAAGTTGCCCTATAATTCCTCTCACTGTCCCTTCGCCCTCCTCCTCACTCTTCTCAGCCTCTGTGTACTGTATGTAGGCTTACTGTTTGAACCCGTTGATAATGGTATGGGATTGCATATTAACCAGTTACCATTAGCACCTCATTGACAATAACCAAACAACATTCTTGGTTGGATCTAATACAAAGTCATTGAGTATGTTTTTTTAAAAAGTATTATTTAAAAAACATTTCGGGGGTGAATCAGCTTTAATATAGCTTCCATCAATGTAATTGTCTGCGTCATTTCCAATCCCCCATATATTTGTATATTAGAATAATAGTGAAGACATCAAAACTATGAAATAACACATATGGAATCCCACTATATATGCATATAATTTATATATTACATGACCAAAAGTATGGCATTCTCTCAACCAGCTTCATGATGTAGTCACCTGGAATGCATTTTGATTAACAGGTGTGCCTTGATGAAAGTTAATTTGTGGAATGTATTTCCTTCTTAATGAGCCAATCAGTTGTGTTTTGACAAGGTAGGGGTGGTATACAGAAGAGAGCCATATTTGGTAAAAGACCAAGTCCATATTATGGCAAGAACAGCTCATATAAGCAAAGAGAAACGACAGTCCATCATTACTTTAAGACATGAAGGTCAGTCAATCCGGAAAATTTCATGAACTTTGAACGTTTCTTCAAGTGCAGTCGCAAAAACCATCAAGCGCCATGATGAAACTGGCTCCGCGACAGGAAATAAATACTTCATAGAGTTCAAGTAACAGACACATCTCAACATCAACTGTTCAGAGGAGACTGCGTGAATCAGGCCTAAATGGTCGAATTGCTGCAAAGAAACCACTACTAAAGAACACCAATAATAAGAAGAGACTTGCTTGGGCCAAGAAACACGAGCTATGGACATTACACCGATGGAAATCTGTCCTTTGGTCTGATGAGTCCAAATGTGCGTTTTTTGGTTCCAACCGCCGTGTCTTTGTGAGACGCAGAGTAGGTGAACGGATGATCTCCGCATGTGTGGTTCCCACTGTGAAGCATGGAGGAGGAGGTGTTATGGTGTGGGGGTGCTTTGCTGGTAACACTGTCTGTGATTTATTTAGAATTCAAGGCACACTTAACCAGCATGGCTACCACAGCTTTCTGCAGTGATACGCCATCCCATCTGGTTTGCACTTAGTGGGACTATCATTTGTTTTTCAACAGGACAATGACCCAACACACCTCCAGGCTGTGTAAGGGCTATTTGACCAAGAAGGAGAGTGATGGAGTGCTGTATCAGATGACCTAGCCTCCACAATCACCTGACCTCAACCCAATTGAGATAGTTTGGGATGAGTTGGACCGCAGAGTGAAGGAAAAGCAGCCAACAAGTGTTCAGCATATGTGGGAACTCTTTCAAGACTGTTGGAAAAGCATTCCAGGTGAAGCTGGTTGAGAGAATGCCAAGAGTGTGCAAAGCTGTCATCAAGGCAAAGGGTGGCTACTTTGAAGAATATCAAATATAAACTATATCTTGATTTGTTTAACTTGTTTGGTTACTACATGATTCCATATGTGTTGTTTCATAGTTTTGATATCTTCACTATTATTCTACAATGTAGACAATAGTAAAAAGAAAGAACAACTCTGGAATGAGTAGCTGTCCAAACTTTTGACTGGGACTGTGTGTGTATTCAGCAGGGATTTTGGCCCACTCCTCCATACAGACCTTCTCTAGATCCTTCAGGTTTCGGGGCTGTCGCTGGGCAATACGGACTTTCAGCTCCCTCCAAAGATTTTCTATTGGGTTCAGGTCTGGAGACTGGCTAGGCCACTCCAGGACCTTGAGATGCTTCTTACGGAGCCACTCCTTAGTTGCCCTGGCTGTGTGTTTCGGGTCGTTGTCATGCTGGAAGACCCAGCCACGACCCATCTTCAATGCTCTTACTGAGGGAAGGAGGTTGTTGGCCAAGATCTCGCGATACATGACCCCATCCATCCTCCCCTCAATACGGTGCAGTTGTCCTGTCCCCTTTGCAGAAAAGCATCCCCAAAGAATGATGTTTCCACCTCCATGCTTCACGGTTGGGATGGTGTTCTTGGGGTTGTACTCATCCTTCTTCCTCCAAACACGGCGAGTGGAGTTTAGACCAAAAAGCTCTATTTTTGTCTCATCAGACCACATGACCTCCCATTCCTCCTCTGGATCATCCAGATGGTCATTGGCAAACTTCAGACGGGCCTGGACATGCGCTGGCTTGAGCAGGGGGACCTTGCGTGCGCTGCAGGATTTTAATCCATGACGGCGTAGTGTGTTACTAATGGTTTTCTTTGAGACTGTGGTCCCAGCTCTCTTCAGGTCATTGACCAGGTCCTGCCGTGTAGTTCTGGGCTGATCCCTCACCTTCCTCATCATCATTGATGCCCCACGAGGTGAGATCTTGCATGGAGCCCCAGACCGAGGGTGATTGACCGTCATCTTGAACTTCTTCCATTTTCTAATAATTGCGCCAACAGTTGTTGCCTTCTCACCAAGCTGCGTGCCTATTGTCCTGTAGCCCATCCCAGCCTTGTGCAGGTCTACAATTTTATCCCTGATGTCCTTACACAGCTCTCTGGTCTTGGCCATTGTGGAGAGGTTGGAGTCTGTTTGATTGAGTGTGTGGACAGGTGTCTTTTATACAGGTAACGAGTTCATGTCGTAAATGGCTATTGTAGCTGGAAACGGCTGATTTTTAATGGAATATCTACATAGGCGTACAGAGGCCCATTATCAGCAACCACAGTCCTGTGTTCCAATGGCACGCTGTGTTTGCTAATCCAAATTTATCGTTTTAAAAGGCTAATTGATCATTTAGAAAACCCTTTTGCAATTATGTTAGCACAGCTGAAAACGGTTGTGCTGATTTAAAGAAGCAATACAACTGGCCTGCTTGAGACTAGTTGAGTATCTGGAGCATCAGCAGTTGTGGGTTCGATTACAGGCTCAAAATGGCCAGAAACAAATAACATTCTTCTGAAACTCATCAGTCTATTCTTGTTCAGATAAATTAAGGCTATTCCATGCGAGAAATTGCCAAGAAATTGAAGATCTCGGTCAATGCTGTGTACTACTCCCTTCACAGAACAGCCCAAACTGGCTCTAACCAGAATAGAAAGAGTGCGTGGCCCCGGTGCACAACTGAGCAAGAGGACAAATACATTAGCGTCTAGTTTGAGAAACAAACGCCTCACAGGTCCTCAACTTGCAGCTTCATTAAATAGTACCCGCAAAACACCAGTCTCAACGTCAACAGTGAAGAGGCGACTTCGGGTTGCTGACCTTCTAGGCAGAGTTGCAAAGAAAAAGCCATATCTCAGACTGGCCAATAAAATTAAAATATAAGATGGGCAAAGGAACACAGACACTAGACAGAGGAAGATTGGAAAAAAGACTAATCGAAGTTTGAGGTGTTCGGATCACAAAGAAGAACATTTGTGAGACACAGACCAAATGAAAAGATGCTGGAGGAGTGCTTGATGCCATACGTCAAGCATGGTGGAGGCAATGTGATGGTCTGGGGGTGCTTTGGTGGGAGATTTGTACAGGGTGAAAGGGATCTTGAAGAAGGAAGGCTATCACTCCATTTTGCAACGCCATGCCATACCCTGTGGACGGCACTTGATTGGAGCCAATTTCCTCCTACAACAGGACAAGGACCCAAAGCACAGCTCCAAACTTTGCAGTAACTATTTAGGGAAGAAGCAGTCAGCTGGTATTCTGTCTATAATGGAGTTGCCAGCACAGTCACCGGATCTCAACCCTATTGAGCTGTTGTGGGAGCAGCTTGACCCTATGGGACGTAAGAAGTGCCCATCAAGCCAATCCAACTTGTGGGAGGTGATTCAGGAAGCATGGTGGGAAATCTCTTCAGATTACCTCAACAAATTGACAACTAGAATGCCGAAGGTCTGCAAGGCTGTAATTGCTGCAAATGGAGGATTCTTTGACGAAAGCAAAGTTTGAAGGACACAATTATTATTTCAAATAAAAATCATTATTTCTAACCTTGTCATTGACTACATTTCCTATTAATTTTGCTGTATTTCCTATTCAAACTCATTTAATGTATGTTTTCATGGAAAACAAGGACCCCAAACTTTTGAACGGTTGTGTGTGCATTCGGAAGGTATTCAGACCCCTTGACTTTTTTTCACATTTTGTTGCATTTCAGCCTTATTCTAAAATGGATTCAACTCTTTTTTTATCCTCATCAATGTACACATAATACCCCATAATGACAAAGCAAAAACAGGTTTTTAGACATTTTTGCAAATGTATTATAAATAAAAAACTGAAATTACATTTACATACGTATTCAGACCCTTTACTGAGTACTTTGTTGAAGCACCTTTGGCAGCGATTACATCCTCAAGTCTTCTTGGGTATGACGCTACAAGCTTAG